CACCCACTTACATTCTTGTTTAACACATTTGCTTAACTCTGTGTAAATGTGGGGGAGGTGCTTATTATCATTATCATCATTATCATTTTTCATAATCATCTGAGAGTTTGCAAGTTTATTGCAGTCATCATGACATTATATCTTTAAATATTTCAATATTTCCCCTAAGAACAAGTCCTTCAACTACAAAGTCACATTATAAATATTACACAAGGAAATTCAACACTATTTAACAAGAGTATTACCTACTATTCATTCTATATTTGCATACTGTCAATTGCCTTAATAATGCCCTTTTTAACTTTTGAAAAAAAATTCAGGCACAAATGCAGAGTCAAATATTGCATTTAGTTCTCATATCTACTTAGTTTTTAATCTAGAGTATTTCCCTAAAGATAATTCTTTTTTCTTTCATGACATTTGAGATTTTTTTGAAGCATTGAGGCCAGTTCTTGGGCAGAATGAGCATCAGTTGTATTTACCTGGTTGTTTTTATTTTTAATTCTTAAAATAACTAATGAAACAAATATAAGGCTACACATTTTGTTATGATTTAGAGCAAAGTTGCCACATGTTAAGGTTTTTTTTCTTTTTTTCTTTTTCCTCCAATTTTGCAATCCTTGCTGGGTTTTGTTTGTTTGCTTTAGAGGGGTTTGTCCCTAGCCTGGCATTTCTGTCTTTATATTTTTATATCCCCATGTAGAATAAGCCTGAAGTTTATTTATGGTCTTGAAGATGCTTCTGAAGCACTTATTTTATTTATGGGTATGGTTATTGTTGAGATTCTCCATTATTGCTATTTAGAAAATAGCAGAACTTTTTGCAACCCTCAGTTGTGGTAAAGGAAGGAACTGGGCTTCTGGTGTTACTGTCTCTCTTTGACAATAGCCTTGCCTTTCCCACCTGGAACCCTGGAGCTTCCCATATTGCGGGGACAGAAGGCACATGGGTCCCGTGTGGCCTTGCAGCCAGCAGCACTGTTGTTTCTGCACGTGCTCTCTGGCGCCTAATGTACACCCACCTGGCCAAGGAAACTGGCTTGTGTTGGTCCCTGGTAGCTACATATGGTTGTGTGGATGAACCATGGAGAAGCTTATTTTGCATTTTCCAGTCAGATATCATGCAGCTACTTAGGAGACATTGAATTAATATGCCTTGAAAGGCCATGCATGGAGGTTGGCAGCAGGGCACACCCTGGCAAGGCCTCCCTCTCCGTGAGGGTCTTTGTGCCCATGCCAGGAGTCTCTTTCAATGCCATGGGCATAGATGTTATGGGACCTTCTCTCCTCACATCAAGGAGACTATTTGGGCCTGATAAAAGGAGTGCAGATGGTGCCTCAATCCCCTTTCCTGATGAGAATATGTTTGGTTCTGCCCCACAGAGCTGCACCTCACCTAACAGGCCATTTAGTGGGAGAATATGGAAAGAAAGATGATGGGGATAGGGGAAAAAATACTTCCTGCTGCTAACAAAAACAGTGTGAATGGGGTGGAGACACCAGAGACTCCCACCTTCTCATCTACTCTGTCTCAAGTATCATCACATTCTAGACTCTGACAAATAATTGTGTAGGCAGAGTGAGTTTGGCTCCCTAAAGGAAAGCTGGGAGTTTGTCATGGGACCTAAGTAGAACTATGTTTATGCTTTTCAGGGTTTTATAAGAGAGGTGGAAGAAAATCATAGGTGCAGGATTGTAGTGATCTGCTTCCCCATGTGACTTTGTATGAAGTAAGCCCTATTATAATGATGATCACAGCTCTCATACAATGATTACCCTATTTAATGATCCCAACAGAGTCTACCATAGAGATTACAGTTCCCGTTTAAAAGGTGAGAGTTCTAAAGCTCAGAGGGGTTAAGGTTCTGTTCAACAACCATTCTGATGGCCAGTGTTGGGATATGATTCAAACCTGGCTCTCTTCAACTTAAAAGTACATGCTTTTACTCTTACTCCCCATTGCTTCTTGAGGAGCTTTGTCCTGCTTACTTGATGAGCATCGCAGCATGGATTTTCTTTCATTTCTGTCCCTGATCCTTCCATCGCCTCAAACCTTATTATATCCTAGGATACTTCATAGCCAAAGGGTTTCCTCACAGTGCTGAGCACTCACTTGGCCTAGGGGTGTTGGTACAGGTAAAATGCAAGGAAATATATATTTCCATATAAAACCGGATAATGTGTGTATGTGTATGTGTATTTGAATCCAGAATAGTGCCTGACATATGGTAAAGGTTCAGTAAATGGTAAGAACCTATGAATATAGGACATGTTCCTAGGTATGTAATATAGATGCATATCTAGTAGATATGAGTCTAGATAACAAGATGGAGGAGGAGAAAGGTGGAAGACAGCAATAATGAGTTTTAGCATTAGTGTTCATGTTTTAGCACCAAATAAGATTATTTTTAGACCTGGATTTGCTGAAGATCTTAAATTTCGGGTAACTTGAAGGTAGTAGCCACATGGCGTCAGGAAATGGAATTGAAAAGAGGGTCACAGAAACAGACAGAGGATGCTTCCAAGCATGTGGGGGCAGCCAGAAAGGCCAGGGCTGCCTTGGTTCCCAGCTTGGCCCCATGACTCATAGGCCGGCAAAGCTCCAGTTCTTGGCTTGTACTTGGGGGAGGGAGCCAGAAGCTGGGCCAGAGGTTGGCCTGTCAGACGCTAAACTGCTTAATGCTAAGGGACAGAGATTCCTAGAGCTTGGAGCCTGGGAAGTTTGCTTAGATTTACTTTATTATCGATTAGGGAAGGGATCACCAGCCTCTCTTCATTCATCTTGGGCCTGTGTCATTCATCTATGCTCTGATCTTTTCAGTCTTGGCTTTCCTTAGCACCTGGGGACAGTTGTTTCCCACCCGTGAGCATCATTTGCATGTTACTGCTGGAAACACTGAGGTAATTTAAAATCTGTAGCAAATGTAGCAGAGTAGAGTCTCTCTACTTTCTATAGTCTTTTCCAAATACAGCCTCACAGCTGCCAAAACATGAACTTGCTGTGGAAAAAGGCTCTGGACTCAGAGACTATTAGAAAAGAGATTTTACATTTACAAGTGTGTGATCTTGGTCAAATTTCTCAACCTCTTTGAGCCTTAAGAACCTCATCCATAGAATGTAAAAGTATTATCACCTGCCAGAGTTGTGAGGATGAGATGACCTCACAAAGGTCAAAATAGGCCCATTCTAGCCCGTTCTCTGGACCCACTCATACTCATCCACTCATACTCGTCATTCCTCTTTTCTCTTCTGCAACAGCTCATACTAACACATTAGAAAAGACTTGATCTGCTTTTTAGTTCTTGTGAAAATCTAACATCTCTAGAATCTAAATAATTATCCAGAGTCTTGATAATGGTGTTTATAAGACCAGTGCCAGGGAATGGAACATTCCCATCCTATCCAGATACTTACAGCAGCTCAGAAAAGGGCCAGCCCAGGCCAGGTAGATACAGGCAAGAAAGACCAACAGAAGCCAACAGAAGCCAAACGAAGCCACACAATCTCCCCACCAGGCAGAACCAAGGGGCCCAAAGTTAAAAGAACAGGACAGGTTTCCCAGACACCTGTTTCTCTTGGGGACTCATGGTACTGACACTTGACTCAAGGATCTGAATACTTGATTGCTCAAGGCAACTCAAAAGAAATTTAGTCAATGGAGGCAGAGCAAGTCAGTAGAAAAATTGGCCCATATGGATGCTCTCCACCAGAGTTCTATAATTCTCTGGATTGGATTCTCATCAAACAAGATTCCCAACAAGAACTTTAAGCCTTTTATATTTGGAGGGAATAGGGAACTAGTGTAGAAAAATTATTAGAAAACAAAGGAAGGGAAATACAATGCTATAATTGTTAACGTAGCCCTTGAGTTAATTTTTGTTTTTATTCCAACCTTCTGTATTTCCCTCATGAACCTATGCTTTTTTTTGCAAGAAGAGGATGATAGTGTCTGGGTAGAGCAAAGATAGGGGTAGAGAGGAGAAGTTAAGATTGTTCTGTCTTGGACATGGATGCTTGATGATGAAGATTTGGAGCCTCATGTTTTCAGAAGTGACTGCCGTAAGACTGCAAAACTGTTTTTTCCACCTGTTCCGTGTGTGTGTCTAGTTAAGTGAGCTTAAAGGAATTCCAAAGGAGGGGGTGTAAAGACTTTTTCAGCAAAGTAGAGCCTTGAATAAGTACATAGCACTCACGAGGAGCTGAGTGAGACCCTCATCTGAATGTATAGTGTTGGTTGAAGGCACAGAAGTTTGCAATCAGTGAGCCCACTGAAATCCCAAAGCTTCTAGCTACAAACTATGTGTCTTGGGCAAAATTCTTAGTCTCTCTGAATTCTGATCTGTAAAATGTGGGAAATAATCTCTATTTCATAGGGTTGTTTGGAGGTTGAAATTATATGGTGTTTATATGAGATACTTTGTTTTATTCAAAGAACTAAACCCATTACTTCTGAATATCTTTCTCCATGTTTCTGACTCCCTCTTGACACTTCCACTCACTCTTAACAAATACCCACTGAATATTCTGCTCTCTACAGCCTCCAGAACTCAAAATAAGATCAATTCACATGAAGATATCAGGGTTTGGTGGCTGTTACAGCTAGACCTTGCCCAATGTGGTATGAGTGAAGTTGGGCTTTGCACACTACTGCCTGTCTTACAAGTATGAACTGGTTTCTTCCTGGGGCAGGTACAAATCATGGTCTACTCAGTGCTGCTTACCCCATATGCTACTTCCTACTTTTGTAATAGTGAATTTGTCTTATTTTTGGGAAGGGTAACTCCCTCCCCTAATGTTAGGAGAATGAGTCATGATTACTTTAAGCCTGGCACAACCACATCCTCTTTGCCAGTGATTGGTTTAAGGGAAGGCAACTGATCTAGTTCTAACTAATCATATGCAAGGAGAAGCCTGCCTTAAACTTTTGTTAAAGACTTTCCTTTTTTGGCAAAAGGTACAGATGTGACTTATATGTTCCTTCTCCTTCCTTTTTCAAAATAGAAGTGATGCCAGAAGTTTCAGTAGCCATAGCAATGAACACCAAGATAAAAAGCCAATAACCAAAGATGGAATACAGTGGTCAGAAAGAACCTGGGTTCTTGATGATACCATAGAGTACTGAACTGCTAGACTTCTTATTAGGTAAGATGAGTAAAAGTCTTTATTGAGTAAACCATCTATCTATCTATCTATTTATTTATTTAATTTTTGGTACTGGGGATTGAACCCAGGGGCACTTAAACATTGAGCCACATCCCCAGCCCTTTTTTATATTTTATTTAGAGACAGGGCCTCACTGAATTGCTGAGACTGGCTTTGAACTCACAGCCTCCTGAGTCACTGGGGTAAATCATTCTTAATTGGGGTTTTCTGTTACTTGCAACCCAAAGCATTCCTTATTTGATATTCCTTCCTTTGGGATAATATTCTTTTTTTGAAGTGTTATACTGCAACCTTTCTTATAGCTAAAGTGTTACCATTGTATCAAGCTGGCTACCAAAAACTCTCTGTTAAGATATTTCCAGAGATCATTGTATTACCTAGATTTAAGGAAGGATTTCATGAAAGAGTATTTGCTTTTAAACAAAGGATTTCTGGGAGACATTTCCTAGAGATGAAGACATAAAACCATGATGGTGAGATGACGGACGAGCCTTGGAATTAATACTTTGCAGAGGACCAGGAGTCTTGATTTCTTACCCTTCAACTCCAGCATGTAAGTGACCACCTGGTCTGTCTGTGTTTCCCTGAGCCTTCCTACTGAAAGTGTGGCCCAGCATCAGTCTTGGTAGATTCTATTTTCAAAAACGCAAAATCTTATGCCATAGTCCAGGCCTACTGAGTCGGAACCTACATTTTAGCAAAAATTTCTAACTGACTCATGCAAACATTACTGAATGAGAAACACTGCCCTGGAGTGTACAGAATTGCTAGAGTTAGAAAAAACTTGGTTTTCTATTACCAAATAGAAACATGGTCCAATATTCATCTCAGACATTTTTCTCTGATAGAATATGTGACTTCTACTTGTGGACTCTTAACTACTTTCATGATCACAAATCTACAAAGATTTCCTTGATGATGAAATCCGCAAGTCCTTTCCTCTTCTGCTGTCAGAAAACTTTCTGGAAAGTTTCATTTTGGTGTCACTGTATTAATTTGTTAGTGCTGCTACAACAAAGTACATACCACATGCTATGTGCATATGCCAGGTAACTTAAAACAACAGAAATTTATTTTCTCTTGATTCTGAAGGCTTGAAGTCCAAGATCAAGGTGTTGGAAGGTTTGGTTTCCCCTGAGGCCTCCCTCACTCCATGGCTTGTCATGGCTGTCTTCTCTCTGTGTCTCCACATGGTCTCTCCCCGTGCCTCTCATATATGTGCTCTAATATCCTCTTCTTATAAGGACACAAGTCATACTGGAGTAGGGCCTACCACAATACCCCTTTAAAGGCCCCATGTCCATATACAGCCACATTCTGAAATGCTGGAGGTTGCAACTTCAACATAAATTTCAATGGGACTACAATTCAATCCACATCAGTTATCAATAACTGAAATGAATCTGTGGCTCACTCAGTCCTTCAAAGAAGGATGTAGCAGACTCCTGGTTCTAATGACACTAACAGCTCACAGGATACTAAAATAGAATAGGTCCTAAGGAAGGTCATTTTGCATTATACTGTCACCTGACTAATTAAGAAACTGAAACCTGAAGATGTGATATGACATGCCTAATTGTGCAACTTGCATTGTATGCGAAACATACTGGGAATCTGAGAATAAGTCTTATAGTCAAACCTCATTACTTTGCTTACATATTTCTGCACATAAAAACAAATAAAAACACTGATAACCTCCTTGTTGCCAGGAAATGTGTTCACAAAAGAAACCCTACTTTTGGTCCTGCATAGACAATGGAAACTCTGTTACACTCTGATGACTTCTAGAGTCTTGGTGCTCCCATCTGACATGTTCCCAGGCTGCATCTTCAGCAATGATGGGCTGTTGGGTAAGATGCCTTCTGCCTGCTCCGGGACCAGCTGTAGCTTCCTGATCCTTGCCAAGCAGCCACAACTCTCTCTGATACCTACAAAGATGGTGACAAAATCAAAAATTGCTGAGGCCAACAGTCATAGTTACTCTGCCACATCTCCACAACCTGCTTATCAGCAGAAGTTGCATAGGTCCAGGGAGATAACTTCTGTCTTACTTCTGTGGTCCAAACCTTCCCCACGTGCATCAAGAGCCCTAGATACAAGAAAGGCTGGGGGATGTAGTTGTTAGCTTTTTATGCTCTGCAGAATGAATAGGGTGCCAACCTAATGTAACCAATAGGAAAAATCAGATGAAGACCATTGGAAACATTGAAAAAAATCAGGTTTACTAACTTGTTTTGTAAATACAGATTTATGGGAGCATTTATGCTCATTTATTTATATATTGTCTATGATTGCTTTTATATTCTAATAGCAGAGATGAGTAATTGTGACAAAGACCATGTATCTTTCAAAACTGAAAATACTTTTTAATCTGGCCCTTTGTAGAAAATGTTTGCTGACTCCTGAGCTAAAGCTTGCAGTGTCCAACATCCCTTGTAGCTATGTGAGCTGTGGTCCATGGAGACCTGAGTGAAAGTGATACATAGCACTTTTATGCCCAACCCTTAAAATTCTCCCACCCTTCTTCCTGCTTCCTTTAGACTTATCAAACCTCTTCTGTACATGGTAGATTGTAAATATTTTGGACCATATTTTGTGGACCTAGAGTCTCCATTGCAATTACTTAACTCTGCTTTTGCAACGTAAATACAGCCATAGATAAGAGAGAGAAAAAGAAAAATGAGCATGGCTCTGTTCCAACAAGACTTTATTTACAGGACTGAGGTAATGTGAGCTCTAGTCTGCTGACCTCCATCCTAAGAGATGGTCAAAGAACATAAGGAAAGAACTAGGGTTCCTGAATGACTGCATGGGTAAAAACTGCCCATGAACCTGGACTGCTTGCCTACAGACTGGTTCATGAGGAAAATAAACAAATAAATGTCTGACTTAAATTTAAGTCACTGGGTATTTGGATCTCTGTTACTGCAGCTTACACTTACATGGTACTTCTTGGGCTTGTGAATGATGCCTGAACTAGGGAGACATTTTCTAATATTTGCTCAACATCCTGATTCTAATATTTACCACTGAATGTTCCCTGAATACTACTGTGGGCCCATCTTTGCGCAAAGCATGGCAGGTGATAAAAAAAAATGAAGAAGACATATCCTCATCTCCAAAGAACAATCCATGTGTTAGGACTCTCTGGGGGATTTTGACCAGGTGTAAGGTCAATCACTATCAACTTATGACTTGAAGTTTTGAAGTCTATGAATGATATATTGTGTCAGGGATTTTTAAGACCACCTTCAGGCTCAAGGATGAGTTAGAAGGACTCACAAGACTCAGAGACTGTTATAAGTATGTTTTCTACTGATGCATTAACTCTATATAGTTATGTTTATTAAAGTGAATAGATACAGATTAATATCAGCTAAGGGGAAGGCACATTAGGCAAAGTGTAGGAGAAACCAGGGTCACATGGGGACATGTTTCATCTCTCAACAAAGTTGTATGACCACATATGCCAAGTGTTGCCAACCAGGCAAGTTCCCCAGCTTTGGTATTCATGATTTTTATTGGGGGCCTATTATATAAACATTAAACACCCACTGTGACTAACCTCAGCTACTCAGTTTCCTGCTCCCCAGAACAAAAACAGGTGTTTACCACATATCACATTCTTCTCATAAACTTATCTGGTTATATTGTTGCAGCATTGCCAAATGCCTCAGGCATAGCAAAGCTCTCTTATCATGCAGAATATCCCAGGGCCTAACAGGTTATTTTCCAGGCCAAGGGCCAGTCCTGAAGTCAAGCCATTAACTTACCCCCCCACTTTTTTTTTTGGCAGAGTTAACCCTTTCCTCTACTTATATTTTTAATATAAAGAATAGACTAGGGTTATCCCCCTCTTGCATTTTGATATACTTCCTCAATTGGGATAGAAGGAAATTAAGTTACAGCTTTTATCCTGGACTTTAACACAAGAATGTATACGGCATATGACTATCATCCTTAATGCAATTAATTGGAAAGAGTCCATAACTGCACATAAACTAGAAGGAATAACATAGGTGCATATAAAACACAAAGGAAGGAAAAATACATTTGAACTTAAAGGAGGAATGCTCTCCAATTGCTGGAGAGGTTAGGAAAAGATTTAAGGAAAGAGCCAGCTTGAAGATGGGCTTCAGACCTTGGTAAGATCGTGACAGAAGGAGTTAGATAGCATAAGAGGGATATTTGGGGCTGTGCAGGGTGACAGTGATGCAAAGACTTTGAGGCATGAAAGTTAGTGTGTGTACAGGGGACAGTGAGCAGTTGCATCTGGCTCCATTGGGAAATGAGTTTGGAAAAACAGGTAAAAGTCATATTGTGGAAGCTGTTTCATACTGAGCTTAGGATTTTTTTTTCTTTTAATCAACATGTGATGGGGAGATCTTGACCTTGGAAAGTTTTATGCAATGGAATGATACATTTGGATCTATGGTTGAGGGAATTCTGCAAGAATTTGATGGACTGATGTTTGAAATAGGAGTACACGTAACTAAGTTGTTATAAGACAAAATAATGAAAGCCTGAGCTATGACTGTGCGTGCAGATAGGAGAAAAGACTAGAAACAATTCAGACACAGAATCGATAGGACTGAACTCTAAGAATCTGGCAAGTAGTGGCATGTCAGAGAAAAGAGCAAAGAGTGTGGGAGCCACACACATCCCAAGGTTTAGAGTACAACATCACTGGGATGATTGTTCTTTCACCACGGGAGATACGGAACAGGGAAAACAGGCACTAGAGCTTATTCCAAGAAGGTTTGAGGCAGAGAACCTGAAGATAGTCCCTTAGATTTGGGAATGGTGAGTATGACATAAATGTCCAAATACTGTGCACTAGGGTATTAAGAAACTGAGCCTGTAGCTTAGGAGAGCATTACAGACCTAAGAGTCTGTGGCATTGAGATTCTATGAAAATGAACAACATTGTCAAGAAAGCAAACCTAAAGGAAGAGGAGAAGCTGACTTGAGGAAGAACT